CTGTTACCCCCCCTTGTTGAATTTTGTTTCAACCGAGTAGTAACCCCCCCCCCATACCGCTTGCCTGGCCCAACGTGGTTATCTGATAAATAAATGTACGAATAAATGAACGTCAATATTGTTAGACCAATGGTCCGTTTTGTGAGGTTATCCCGAACTCGCTAAGTAACCGCGCGCGAAATAAAAAAAAATGCACGCGTGAGGTAATTTATTATTATCGCTCGCTGGTTACTCTCGGAAAGCAACATCGTTAAGGGTCAATGAGTTTAGACAGGTATTTTTTTTAAATATCGTTTTCGGTTACCGTATGCATTTAAATGTTATTACAGTTATTTTATATATCGGCAGAATCGGGCAACGTGATTATTCACCTCAATAACTCTCACGTACGATACAATTTTTACGCATTTATATGCAGTAAATCTCCTCACGTAACCCCCCCCCCTTGTCTACCTCCCCCCCTGACGACCACTACCCCCCCTGACGACCACTACCCCCTCTACCCTACCCCCCCTCTCTACCCTACCCCCCCTCTCTACCCTACCCCCCCTCTCTACCCTACCCCCCTTCTCTACCCTACCCCCCTCCCTCTCTACCCTACCCCCCCTCACGACCACTACCCCCTCTACCCTACCCCCCCTGACGACCACTACCCCCTCTACCCCCCCTCTACCCTACCCCCCCTCTCTACCCTACCCCCCCTCTCTACCCTACCCCCCCCCCTCTCTACCCTACCCCCCCCTCACGACCACTACCCCCTCTACCCCCCCTCTACCCCCCCCCCCCCACGACCACTACCCCCTCTACCCTACCCCCCTCCACCCTACCCCCCCTCACGGTTCTGTATGGGATGGGACGAGGGTTCTGTATGGGATGAGACGAGTGATCTGTATGGGATGAGACGAGTGATCTGTATGGGATGAGACGGGGATTCTGTATGGGATGAGACGAGGGTTCTTTATGGGATGAGACGAGGGTTCTGTATGGGATGAGACGAGGGTTCTGTATGGGATTAGACGAGGGTTCTGTATGGGATGAGACGAGGGTTCTGTATGGGATGAGACGAGGGTTCTGTATGGGATGAGACGAGGGTTCTGTATGGGATGAGACGAGGGTTCTGTATGGGATGAGACGAGGGTTCTGTATGGGATGAGACGAGGGTTCTGTATGGGATGGGACGAGGGTTCAGTATGGGATGAGACGAGGGTTCTGTATGGGATGAGACGAGGGTTCTGTATGGGATGGGACGAGGGTTCAGTATGGGATGAGACGAGGGTTCTGTATGGGATGAGACGAGGGTTCTGTATGGGATGAGACGAGGGTTCTGTATGGGATGAGACGAGGGTTCTGTATGGGATGGGACGAGGGTTCAGTATGGGATGAGAAGAGGGTTCTGTATGGGATGGACTTTGTTGGGTCCTGTAGCTGCAGATGGCACGAGGCTTTGCGTTGACTGCTGGTTTGGAAGGCCTCTCCAGCCCACAGAACTTCCTTCTTCACGTGGCAAGAAGCCCCCGTTCCGCGAGCAGTCAAACGTCATCCAAGCAGTGTAACGTCATCCAATAATGGAACGTCATCCAAGCAGTGTAACGTAATCCAAGAAGTGAAACGTCATCAAAGCAGTGTAACGTCATCCAAGCAGTGTAACGTCATCCAAGCAGTGTAACGTCATCCAAGCAGTTGAACGCTATCCAAGCAGTGTAACGTAATCCAAGCAGTGGAACGTCATCCAAGCAGTGTACGTCATACAAGAAGTGTAACGTAATACAAGCAGTGTAACGTCATCCAAGCAGTGTAACGTAATCCAAGCAGTGTAACGTCATCCAAGCAGTGGAACGTCATCCAAGCAGTGTAACGTCATCCAAGCAGTGTAACGTAATCCAAACAGTGTAACGTCATCCAAGCAGTGTACGTCATCCAAGAAGTGTAACGTAATCCAAGCAGTGTAACGTAATCCAAGCAGTGTAACGTCATCCAAGTAGTGTAACGTCATCCAAGCAGTGTAACGTAATCCAAGCAGTGTAACGTAATCCAAGCAGTGCAACGTCATCCAAGCAGTGTAACGTAATCCAAGCAGTGTAACGTCATCCAAGAAGTGTAACGTAATCCAATCAGTGTAACGTCATCCAAGCAGTGTAACGTCATCCAAGCAGTGTAACGTCATCCAAGCAGTGTAACGTCATCCCAGCCGTGGCATTTTCAACGTCATGCAATTCAACTACCAGTTTACTTTGATGACGCGGGGTTGTGTGCCGTGATTTGTTGCGCGTTTGCTGTTGTGGTCCCCACACAGTAATCCGATTACACAAGGAGACTGCAGTAATAATAGAGTATTAGAGCAATTGCAATATAATAGCAGTAGCATTGATTACACTATTTTGTCCGGGAGTTGTAATCTGGTAACAGCAATCCACCGTTGCCTGCAATGTGTTAGTTACTCTGCGGTAGTGTTTTGCGCATTCATGGTGCTTAGAATTTCTCATCAAATATATCTCGAATTTGCTCAATCAGAATATGACAAAGACGCCGGCGAAGATCTTCCGTGCAGTTTGTGGGGGGCAAGTGCCGTGAATGAGCGCGACCAATGAAGGCCGACATGACACACGAGGGGGTGGATGTCCAGCACCACACGAGGACGTCTTTGTCTCCCCAGTGCTGATGTTTTACACACCGCACCAGGTACTCATTAGTGTACGGCCGAGACGACCTAGGGGAGGCCCAGAGCCGGTTCAGGGGTCGCCGGTTTCGTCGCGTGGTGCGCTAACCACTCCACCACCGCTCCCCCATTCGGCACGTATATACACACACACATACATACAACGCACAAAATAAATAAATTACGAAAAGTAATCAACTGACAGCGGACGCTTAATAAATTACTGTAATCTGATTACACACTGAAAGCAGAGTAATAGAGCCGAATTACCAGCGTCTGGCCTGGGTAATCCGTTTACCTGTAACATATTCTCCTATGTACGGACTTAAATGTCTACCCATTCAATTGCATTTATAGATATATCACGAAGCCGCGGCAGGCCGACCGCTCCTGCTAATGTCATCGGACACGATCTGTCCACTGCCGGATGAAGTTTTACCCAAACTACATCTCAAGGTCACCGCGATGCGACGATCCACCCCGGGACGTCCTCCCCGTCGGGTGGCGCGCTCCCCCTCCTTCGCCTTCCACTCTGTCGCCAGTCTCTAACGACTCTCGCGGCGTCGTTTCCAGCGGCACGTCTTGAAGACTCTTCTCGCCACAGTGGCGCCTTGCACATTTGGAGAGTTCGCGTCTCTCGGTCGCTCTCCCCCCCCTCCCCCCCCCCGTGATCACGTGGTTTTTTAATTTTCCCCCAGGGCCCTCCGGTTTTTTCCCCCCACCCCCTCCCTACACATTTCGAATCAACAATCACGCGTTTAGAGGATTTGGCCGCGACAAATTTCCACGCGGTTAATCAAGCCACTTCGTTGAGCTCTCATTTGGTGGTCGCTTCCGAAAACGATCTATAACAGCTCAGCGGGGCCTTCTACTTGGCAAAATAAAATAAAATATCGCTTAAAAATTAAGTGATTTATCCTTCTTTCTAACAGCCAGTAAGAAGCGCGGAGAGAGAGGGAGCGCACTGCGAGCCCGGGATGTCGCCTTTGCTCAAGGCTCCTCCGCTCGGACTGTCTGTGTCTGGGTGCGCTCACAGCGACGGTCCCTGGCAGAGGCAGAGGAGGAAATGGAGATTGAAAGCGCGAGCCACTTTGTTTTTATTTCCGCGGAAATGTTCTGCAATTTATTGAGAGGAGGGGAGGGGGGGTCCTCAGCCCAGCCCGAGAGACCGTGGCCAGCCCCCCACCACCACCCCCCCCCCCCACCGTTAAATTTTATGGGGGCCCATGTCTATTATTGTTTTAGGGGTGGCAGTGGGGGGGTTCTTTGTCTATTGAATCCCACCTTTTAAACGACTATAAATCTTATCGTTGGTTGATGCAATTAATATATATATTTTTTAAAGAAATGATGTTTAGCATTATAATTAAGGGAATTCGGGGGAAGATTAAACTTTTTTAAGATTCGCTCTTTAAAAAAAAATTGCTCTTTAAAACAAAGCATACTGCAAACGAAATTCATAATACCAACTATGTACGAAAGTCTCCGTAACAAAGTAAAGTAGAATCGGACACGCGCATGCATGAAGTTGAACCACTAAAGAATAGTACAGCAGAAGAATCACCAGCAGCACAGACTTTTTTTTAAGTTAAACTGTATTTACATCAGGAGGACCGTAACACATCCACATTATGACTTTTTTTTACCATTATCAAAAATAAACATGTGCAAAATAATACGTTTGAGTAAAAATCCGGTACAGTCGCATGAAAGGCACGAGCGATGATTTTGTCATCGTGTGATCACTGCGGTGACGAGGATTCGACGCAAAACTCTCCTGCCACCACCGCTTTCCCCATAACGGGATACGCAGAGCAAAAGCGCCGGAATTGTTCGTAAATATGGGAGGGCGAAAATAAAAAAAAATCACACGCGACCACCTTGGGAGGACTTCTGATCGCAATTCCATCGCCACGATTAGATGGGGGGGGGGGGGGGGAAATGTAAATTTGTTTTCCTTCAAAATTTCTAAAACACACACAAACTTCGATACATCACATGCACGTACCGGTATACATATATATTACACATACCTGTACGCAAATTACATTTTAAAAAAATGTATCCCCAGTTTCGGCTGGTGCACTTAAGCTGTCCCGTGTTCAGCAATCACGGGCTATTGTGGATATTTTTGTGTTCCTGGAATAGCTTGTTTTCCTACGACTAACCACCACCGCAAGCGGTGAATGAGAAATTTTTTCGATAATTAAGCACGCGCAACAGATGGGTTTTAAGATACACCAAGTTGAGAGTTGATTGTTTTTTTCTCAAATAGCTTTTCGGAAAGATTGTAGCAACGCGCGCACACACACACACGTATATATAAAAAGTACAGAAACGCCACTGGAAACTGAATACTTTTTAATAAATGCATAATAGATGTCTGTTCTGCCAAAACATGTACGGTTTATTTAACGGTTTTTTTAAATAGACAGAGAAAACGGCCCAAAAGCGAATAATTCCGACCATATTTCAATCGCCATTTTTTCATTGGAGAGGGGGGGGTGGCTGGGAGTGTAATTCTGAAATTATTATTTTGGTGGAATTCCAAAAAGTAAGGGCACTCATCCACCCTAGGGTTCAGTGGCAGGCCTTTCAAATCCCAGCCCCAGAAACGCGAAACAGGAAACAATGCAAGTCATTCTTTTCATATATATTTTTTAATCCAGACCTTATCGTGACCATTTCACACTGGGTGGCTTGGACGTTTCCCCCCCCCACCCCCGCTCTCTCTCGACATGCACGCACGCATGCACACGCGAGGCAAAAATGTGTAATAACAGCCAGAGATAAGAGAAAAGATTTATAAACAAGTCAGAATCCAAGATCTTTTTTTTTTAAAGCCCGCTACAAACTGGATTTTCTATCAAATAATCTTGGTCCTCATCACTCGTCCTGGGATTGTGGATAATCCGCAAACGGTCATCATTTCCAGGCCTGCCAATCTTCACCCATCGCCGCGATTACAACCGCCGCGGATCATACGCAACTGTTGAACGTCGGGAACAATGCGCAACGCTGGTCACATTACCACGTTATTGTACACTCGCACAGCGGTACTCTACAGCTCTCTCACACAGCGCTTTCGTCTTCATTTCAGTTTCATCGCACCAACTTAGTCGGATCACTGGTCGGGTGGGTACGGGGGGGGGGGTAGGGGGGGTACAAGCCCCCCCCCACGCGCACTGCCGGCAATTGTGCGTGAATCGTCGTCAGCAGTCCGCGGGCCACGACGGGAATTGGACCGCACCTAAAAAAGAAGGCAGCGGGCGAAACTTTTCGCAGCGCTGATCGATTTACGCAGCCAATGCGAGCGAGTTACGCGACAGCCCCACCTCACCACGAGGTAAAAAGTAAAACAAATCGCATCTTTGGGCCGCATTGAGACATTTGAACCATGAGACGTGGCGACATGTCTCGTCTGGGGCACTCATGGACTATCAGTCGCACTGCCATGGCTACACTGTGCCGTCGAGAAGTTTTAGCAAATGAGCCGTTGTTGCCGAAATTGGATCTATATTCTCACCGCGTTGTGGTTTTGGGCCCTCCGTGAATGTAACTGATATGGACACGTGACGTCTCAACGTTTTCGATGAGGTTATCGTCTATAGGGCATTGCATTTGGCCGGGTTACATTGCGCTTGGCAGTGCAGCACCACCGCAGTACGATGACCACCGCACTTCCATTTTAAACAAAACCCATCGGTGAAATGTGGCGCTCGTGTTATCCAGTAAAACACGCCAAGGCACATCATGGCCATCTCATATCAGAAATTCTGAGAATGAGAAGAATATATTTTATATATCTAATTGCATTTCGGTTTATTGTCAATGACCACACTTTTCGCAGGTTCAAAACAAAAAATCACGGCTCGTTAATAACGGAATCACTATCGCTCGCTCGCGTCAATTAATTCCATTCGTTACTTTGGGACATAAGATGATGGTAATCAATTTAAGTCCACCTCCCAATTATTTTTTTTGTGCTCATTTCGTGCATTGAAAGAGATCAAATATCAAAATTTTATGATTTGGAGCCTTTGGTCATCGATCCACTGCGGTGTGGGATGACGATCGCCGTTCTGCTTTTGAAGCGCACACGCACGGCTGTCGAGCACCGGCCCCCGTGAGATGTGGTCGTATCTTACAAAGATTCCCGAATCCAGATTGGGTTGCACCGATTGGACACCACGAGCCGTCAAACCACTGCGATGTTGTTCGTCGCATAACCAAAAATAGTACTTCCTGAAGCTCAGCTTTGTTTGGGATTACCCTTAGGTCAACTGGGGCCTAAAAAAATCGGTGACTGGGTCACAGAGTGGCATTGAACGTAGGGGAGGCCGAAAGTGGTGCTTGCCACACCGGCTCCCCCCCCACCCCCCGCCATCAGCTTTATAGAGGCTCGCTAACAGTAATCATTTGAACAGTCTCTTTGCTAAAGGATGGATTTTTTTTGCACACGCGCGCACGTACACACCAATTCGTATGTTTACATACAAAACACAAATATATTTACCATTAATTTCCGCATATATTTACACACACACTGTGTGGCAATATATATGGGCATCCGCACCGTTGCGCACATACATACACATATACATAAATGGTACGTGCATACATACACTTATATATATGAAATGTGGTATGATGTTCCGTTAGTCCTGCCCAGGAACAAACCAGGCTAAGTTCAAATGCAATGCTGGCAGGACGAGAGAGTCGGTCTGGTACGTTTGTTCCTTGCATTATTTCGAATATTATAAACATAATTACCGTGCTATTAATTATAACCAATCATTGTAGGGCGGTGGGGGCCATGGCAACGGACAGCGAAGTGGCCTTGCCTCGCGGACACGCAACTTGGACATTTGAACGGACGACATTCATCTTAAAAGGAGTGTTTTCTGGATTTCGTGGACTTTACATACATATATAAACAAATTTTACTTGAGGAGGAAAACAACAAGAACATTTCATCCTCTCCAGGAGACTGAGTTGGGAGGCACGAAGAACGGTCTTGGTGGGAAGATTCCTGGCGGATAACTTCCCGGAAAGACAGACACCGACTTTTGGGAAAGGGGGGGGGTGGGGGGGTAAAATCTTCCCACGCTGCCAAATCTTGCCGGCAGCCTCTTCGAGTTCCAACCCACCCACCGCCACTAAGATCTTTGCCGCGTGGTATCACCGAGGACCGAGATCTTCCCAGCCGCTCCGTTATTCTTCGAGATTCAGACGGCAAAAACCTTATTTTTCGCCGAAACTTCCAGATGATTCTCTCTCCTTGTTTTTCTTCCCCTCCACTCTCTCTCTCTCTCTGGCTGAATTTCTTCTGTAAGCTCCTTGCACCAGGAGGCAGGTGGGCGAGAAGGGCACGCTTTTTTTTTCCTCTCTCTCTCTCGGGAGGTTTTCTTTGCTGTTGTTTTTACATCGGCAAGGCTTCCGATGGAAATCTCAAAAGCGGATTTAGTTTCATTTTTGTTCTTAACAAAAAGGGCACGCGCACGTCCCTGCGTCGTAGAGCTTGCGATAGACGGGCGCCTCGCGAATGAAACTTAGAGAGGGGCAAAATCTCTGCAGTCGTAACGGCGGCTGTTTGTCCGAGACACGCGCACGCATGTGCTTGTGGACGCGCAAGTAAAAGCCGCGTCTGGATTTTGTTTCTGTTGACCGGTACTAACCCATGCTTTCTGCTTAGTAGGGCCTTGATGTTGCTGAAGTGTACATTTCATAAATCTCAACACAGATGCGTAACTTTTCGAATTTAGTTTTTTGTCGCGAGTGCCATTTTTCCGTTGGGGGGGGGGGGCGTGATTCGTTTAACAATTTTTCCTGCGCCAGATTATTGTTTGGTATCTTCTTGTATTATTCAGCCGGAACAAACTTGCAACACGAGTCCCGTTTTTTTACCTTTGCTTTTCTCCTCTCCCAAACTTCAAAACATTGAATTGTTAAAGTAGTTCCTTCCGCAAAGTTCCGCCCCTCCCCCCACTCCCCCCCCGGCCTCCTCACCGGCGCAGCGATACCGTTTTTGTGTTGCCCACGGGTCGGCAAAGAGTTCACGGGAACGAGACGTCGACGCGTGGCGCGATTAAGCCACCGTCGCCTGGACGCGAGCCGGAACTACTTGCACACGTATCGCTCCACGGTGCGCTCGCACTTCTTGCAGGTGACGTAGCAGCACCAGTGGTACTTGCAGTGGCAGCGCTCCACCAGTGTCTCCGAGTACGGGTTGTACCCGCGGCCGCAGCACATGAGGTCGCAGCTGTCGCTCCCGGATGATGTCTTATTGCACTGCCTAGAGGGGGGCGGGGGGAGGCAGGGAGATGAGACGGATGAGGAAAGACACCAGAGACAAGGCCGAAGGCACTGTACGTACGTTGAACTTCTTTCCTACCGTACGTGGCCAACAGTGCTAAATTCGGAGGTGCGCGGGTATGCATGCACACGTACACACACACACAATGCGTGCGTGCACACACACACACTACAACAAGACCCCGCCATTCGCCACTAAGGCCACGCACAAGAACGCACAAAAAAAAGATCCCCCATGTAGCCTTAACAGACTGTTGGGGGCAAGTGCTCTCAGCGATTACCTATGATGGCCGGAACGACACACGAGGGGGTGGGTGGCCAACACCACGCCCGGCCGCCTTTGTCTCTCCAGTGGCACTGTTTACACACTGCACCAGGTACTCATTTGAGGCTGAGTCGACCTACGGGAGGCCCAATACCGGTTCAGATAATCGTCACTGGTGTTGGCCGTGATCGATCATCGAACTCGGGTCGCCGGGTTCGCATTGCAGTGCGCCAACTGCTACACTACCGCTCCCCGCACACGCACACGCCGGGAGACGGAACATTTGGCTCAGAGCGAGTCCTGGACCAGTTCAGATAATCGTCACCGGTGTTGGCCGCGAGCGAGAGCCTAACCCGGGTCGCCGGGTTCGTAGCGCAGCGCGCTAACCCACCACACTACCGCACGCGTGTACACGCACACACACACACACAGACACACGAGCGCACCTGTCCTGCGTGCCGGGCGACCCGAGCCGCTCGTTGACGGCGCAGTAGTCGGGCGAGCCCACGGTGTACACCAGCTCGTCGTCGCGCACCGGCCGGATGTCCATGTCGCGCGGCACCAGCTGGTGGCGCGTGCCCACGTGCCGGTGCGTCACCTTGCTGGCCGAGAGGTAGCGCGACTTCAGCTCGGCGGCGATGGCCGCGAGGTCGCGCGTGCCCTTCCAGCACGTCTTCACCGAGCACGAGCCCGAGATGCCGTGGCACTTGCACTTGGTCTCCACCGAGCTGAGGAGAGCCTTGAGGGGACGGAGACGGATTGGGGGTGGGGGGGGGGGGGTGTGAGGGAGCGATTCAGGATTCGCCAGCTAGGGCTTGGTTTTGTTTGGGTGCCGCTCACGTCGATTCTCAAAGGTTCGGCACACACACACACACACACGCTTCCATGGTGGTGCCACGACCAGATGGGGGGGGGGGGCCTTGATTTCTCGCCGAGAAATGTACCGCCCGTTGGTCAAATCGGCAGGTGACACGGGATCACCATGTTACACCCGAGCTACCCCCGCGTTTCTAAACTAAAACTATTTTTTATTTTACCAGGTAAAGCCCAAAGAGCTGAACGGCTCTTTTTTTTTCTTTTTCCAGAAGCGATCTGGCCACAAATGACGACAACTCCACGAATAGGGCTTATCACGTGGACATTTATATCAGTAGCCAAATACTCTGAAACGCACGCCGATTCTCAATATGGTCGGGGGGGGGGGGATAAACGGAGGACCTGGAGAAAAATCGACGCGAACACTGGGAGAGAGCGACACGCAAATATACAGCAGGCACGTCAGGGTCGGGATCGAACCCGCGACCTCCCGCACACCGGGCGAGGTAGTCAACATCTTCGGAGCTCATGCCGCACCCCCGCCGTCGTCACCACCAACCGACCCCCGCCCCTCTCTCTCTCCCACCGCCCCCTGCCGCGTGCTTACCTGCCGGCCGACCTCGTTGTTGTGCAGGTTCATGAGCCGCGACACCTGGCCACGCGCCGATTTCTTGGCGCGCATGGGCGCGTCGGCGAAGCGGCCCCCCACCGCCAGGCCGTGCCGCAGGTTGTCGCCGCAGCCCCCCCAGCGGAAGTCGGCCGAGGGGGCCTCGGCGGGCGTGGGTGCGCAGGAGCACGAGGCGAGGTCGCCGGCGGCGCAGGCCCGCGCCACCCCGTGGCTCGCGGCCGCCGCGGACAGCGCGTACACGAAGGCGGACTCGCGCGTGCCTGTGGTGGTTGGGGGGTGGCGGTGGGGCGTTGGCGTAGTTCGGTTAGCGCGACGCGTTACAAACCTCACCAACCATTCTTACACCTGCTCGTTCACACGCTCACCAACCCACCCCCCCACCCAGACCCGCTCGTTCGCACGCTCACCAACCCACCCACCCCCTGCCCGTTCACACGCTCACCCACCCAGCCACCCACCCGCCCGTTCGTTCACACGCTCACCCACCCACCCACCCCCGCTCGTTCACACGCTCACCAACCCACCCACCCCTGCCCGTTCACACGCTCACCCACCCAGCCACCCAGCCACCCACCCGCCCGTTCATTCACACGCTCACCCACCCACCCACCCCCGCTCGTTCACATGCTCACCAACCCACCCACCCTGCCCGTTCACACGCTCACCCACCCAGCCACCCACCCCGCCCGTTCGTTCACACGCTCACCCACCCACCCACCCCCGCTCGTTCACACGCTCACCCACCCAGCCACCCACCCGCCCGTTCGTTCACACGCTCACCCACCCAGGCACCCAGACCCACCCATTCACACGCTCACCCACCCAGCCACCCACCCCGCCCGTTCGTTCACACGCTCACCCACCCAGGCACCCAGACCCGCCCGTTCACACGCTCACCCACCCAGCCACTCACAGGCCTGCCTGTCCGCCCGCGTGCCCACTCACCCCTCTCGAGGTCGGGAGAGAAATTGGGCGCCCGCTCGGCGGTGGAGCAGTTCCAGCGCATGTCGGCGAAGGCCTTGGTGCAGGCGCGCAGCGTGTCGCGTGCCGCCTGCACTAGCACGGGCGCCACGTCTAGCTGGCGCCGGCACAGCTGCGTCTGCTCGCCCACGAAGCCGCCCAGCCCCCGGCACAACCCCGTGTGGTTCCACACCTGCTCCACGGGCACCCGTGATATCGCCCTGGCATGGTTGGCGCGGGAGGGGGGGGGGGGGGGTGAGAGGGCAACGTTGAAATGTTGATAGGTACATGATCACGTGGAACGTTACGGGAGGACAGAGGGGGAGAGAGAGAGAGAGGTGCCGCCGGTTATTGCGAAAGCGAGGGAGATCGCGAAAGTCGCCCAGCTGGACACCGCCACGGAGCGGCGTAGGGAAAGAGACGGTGAGACGGAGGGAGAGGGAGAGAGAGAGAGGGGTGGAAGGGGTTAAAGGGAGGGAGGGGAGGTCAAAGAGGTCAAGTTAAAATAGGAAAATTCATGACGCAGTAAACCTTTTGAAAGATAGTGACATTACACAGCACTGATGACCAATACGAGACATCACGATGCAGACAGCGCTAAACTCAGTCTGAGCGGCGACGCCAAATGATGACGCCGAGCGGTATCGCCTCGACGGCACGGGCCATGCCGCCGGGCGCACCGCACCAGCGGCGGGGACGAAGAAATAGCGGAACAAAAATCTGCTAAGCGCGCAGAGAAAGAAGCGCGGGGAGAAGCTCGCTTTGAATAACGCGGAGAGACAGCGGGAGGGAGAGGATCGCCGTGCATTTGAGGACACGCGCAGGCTAGAGGCATCGCGTCGATTTGCAAGGGAGAGTACGCGGGCTAGGGCAGGGTACTGGTCCACAGGCCGCAGCAGGTCGTGGTACCACCCGAGGTAGTGCACCATGAGCAGTTCCGACGAATGCGTACGGTTAAATGAGTGGATCGACCGATAACCCCACGCGTTTAGAGTGGTTTAAAGCGAGTCTTTCGCGATTATTGGGGGCCACTAAAAAAAAAAAGGGAATGCCACCTCGGATGGCACTGGCAAGGGAGTGTACGTCGAGGTGATCAGACAACAACGCAGGAGCGCGACGGAAGGAGCGGAAAGCCCCAGGGGGGGGTGGGGGGGAGGCAATATCCGGGAGCACCGGCGCGGAGATGGAGTTGTGAGATCTCGAGCGAGACGGAGCGTGCTGTTGCGAGGGATAGCGACGGTGCGCAGCGGTCCATCATTTGGACACACAGCTGCTGCTGATGACGACGTACGAGAGAGGCGGGGGATATAGACAGTGGTCGATTATTACAGAGCGCGTGTGTGCGTGGGGAGCGGTAGTGCAACTGGTTTGCGTGCCGAGCCACAGAAAACCCGGCGACTGGAGTTCGATTCCCAACTCGCGACCAATTACAGTGGCAATTATCTGAACTAGTACTGGGCCTGCCCTATGCCGACTCTGCCTCAGATGAGTACCTGGTGCGGTGTGCAAACACTTTGGCCACCGAGGAGACAAAGGCGGCCGAGCGTGGTGCTGGCCACCCACTCCCCCCGTGTCGACCTTCCTTAGGTGCTCACTAACAGCACTTGCCCCAACAGTCTGTTAAAGGCCATACGGGGGATCTTTGTCTTTGTTTTCAAACCATGGTGCTAAAAGGACCGCGATACTACATTACTCAGTCGGTATACAGTTGATACACGTGTATGATGAACTTCTTTCGCACCGTACGTAGCCAACCGTGCTAATCGGAGGTGTGGAAGGACAACAAACTAAACAGAAATCCAACAGCAATCGCCTGCACCCCCCTCACCTCGCGAAAAAGTTCTAAGACCCCGCGAAGCTTCCCTGGGCAAAACAAGCGGAAGGAGACTCATCGTGATGACGATATAGCCCCAGGCGTGCATGTCTCATCAACCATCGGTTCCAACGTGATCAGGATGACCATCCAGCGGCGGATAGAGAATGGATCGATGATAAGTGTCCGTGTTAATCACCCGTTGGCTCTCATGCGGCAAGGCCTCCAATCAGCAGCGGATGGCGAATGGATGACTCGAACTTCGATCGATGGTACGTTTTACGAATATAGTTTCGTGATGATTAAGACATTTGTAAAATCCTAATTATGGACAATACAAACATAAAATAGGATTAAAATCCTTTGCAGCATTTGCTCAATCCGCTGCTGGATGAAGCCATCTAACATATTTATTCCAAATGGACATCAGCGTGTAGCATCTGCCAGCAGAGCTCAAGACCCTGGTGTTTACAGACTTAATTAGCCTTAAACTAACAAAAGCAAATACATTTTCGACTTATTATTTCTTGCAAAATGTAAAAAAATAGGAAATAGCTTGTACAGTTCGCATGTTTATCCTGAGCCCTATAGGATAAACAATTTGTTGTTATTGTTAGTGTGTGTGTGTAAACTTTCGTTATTTTTTTAGCTTTGGGTCATTTTCCAGCACTTATATAATTAGAACATAATGCTAAGATTGATTACACAAACAAAGATCCCCCGTATAGCCCTAACAAACGGTCGGGGCAAGTGCTGTTAGCGAGCACCTATGAATACCAGTACGGCATACGAGTGGGGTGGTGGCCAGCACCACGTCCGGCCGCCTTCATCTCCCCACTCCCGTTGTTTACGCACCACCACGTGACGATGCTTACACATCGCGCCGGGTACAGGAATCCTTCGAGGCCGAACCGAACTAGGAGAGGCCCCAGACACCGGTTAAGATAATCGTCACCCTGGTGTTGTCGGTTTTAAGGGGGAATTTTACTCCGGGTGAGAAGCGCAGCGCGCTAAACGCCACACTGCCGCTCCCCCTCTACTATTTACAAGGACAAAGATTCGCACCGTTTAGACTTTAACAGACTGTGGGGGCCAACTGCTGTCAAAGCGAGCACCTTTATAGACACACCCGGCCGCCCTGGTCTACCCAGTAGTATCGGTTACAAACCGCACCCGCTAATTATTTCAGGCCGAGTGAACCTAGGTGGGCAGGCTCCAGGAGCGCTTCAACGTCAGAAGGGTTTACCCCTACCTCTGCACCCCCCTCCCCCTCTCCATGGACGGCCCTGTGTACACATGTACTGTGCATGTTCATATACAGTACAACACTCTAAAATAATAGGCCAGCAACTCCGTAGCCGTGGCCACACCACAGAAAGTGCAGCAGAATCAGAATACGTCTTTATACTAGGGAGGAATCCGATGAGCTGTAAAGCTCTTAGTCACAGATGTCCAGTTAGTCAGGGGCGGGTCAGGACGTTACAACAAAACAAAATACAAACACGTATGGGAAGAGAAGATGGAACGCGAATGGGAAAAGAGAACTAATGGAAAGTTGGAGGGAAATGAACAAAGATAAACTACGCCTCGGCGCAGCTGCACGGACCAGGGTCTGTTTTCACAGTGGGCGGCACCCAGAGAGGAGAAATTCTTGAGTGGGTGTGGCCACACGGGAGTCACGTGATTGGGGGGGGGGCTCGAGCCGATTTCGATTCAAGCAGTACGTAGTATACACAATGGGTCATACATAGGAAGATGGGAGGAGGTTTTCACAACTCTGGCTGTCGCCTGGTGATGCTAGTTGTAATTACTCGCGAAACGTCGTACTCCGATTGTAAGTGTTGTGGATTTGCTCTCCAACAAATCGGCGTGCTGTACTAGTAACGAATTGACACGTTCTGGTGGTGGCGGGTTTTAACGACACATTTATATTTAAGCGATCTAACCCAAATACGAGGGTGTGGGAGGCAGCTAAGTCCGTTTGTTGTTGCCAATGGTCGCATACCGCACGTCTGGTCGCGTTACACGGGGATGAGACGATGATCACCATGCTAGCGGTAATGGTTACGTTCGGATTTAGATGCTGGTGGGTGGGTGGGGGGGGGAAGAGAAATTGCAGCAGTCGCTCGCGACAACGCGGATTACCGTCGTCTTGTTTACAGCGCCGTTGTCAATCAACTGCTGGATGAACTCGCGCCCCACCAACGCCCTGCCGTGCCCAGCGCGGTTTGGTAAAAGTGTGGGCGGCGAGAGGGGGGGGGGGGGTGGATGGAGGATTGTGGGGGGAGGGAAGGGGGGGGGGGGTGATGGCGGGATCTATTTAGAATTCAAGCGCCACCCATGTTGGCCGTGGCCGGGAATCTAACTCAGGTGGAAGTACCGGGATTCTCTCTTCCACGACGACCGTGGACCACGCGACTGTGGAGAAGTCCTAACCATCAAGCACGTCGCCGATGAATGCTCCATCCACGCACATCCTGGCGGTATCGCCGACACACACACACTGCGTCAACCGCATCGGTGGACTGGATGAGGAACCATTGCATCCATTTATGACGATCGTTAAGAAAAAATAAACTTGCTTTTCACAATGCCACACGAAAGAAAAAGACTCCTCTCCCCCAACACACACAAAGACCCCCCCCCCATATAACCTTAACAGACTGTTGGGGCAAGTGCTGTTAGTGAGCACCTATGAAGGCCTGAATGGCGCACGAGGGGGTGGGTGGCCAACACCACGCCCGGCCGCCTTTGTCTCCCCGGTGGCGGTGTTTTTTTTAAACATACCTCCCCATTTGAGGCCGAGTCGACCTAGGGGAGGGTACACAACTGAAAAACACGTGACCTCCAACTCAAATTGAGATCGGCCCTCTGTATTGCCACATGGGAACTTGTTTAGCAAAGTCAGACTAAGGCTGCGTGTACCCAACGATCGGAGGGTGTGTCCTTTATTTAACCAGGTGACTCGCAATGGACCTTTTCAGAAGAGACCTGGGGACTTGCGTGATATTCACGTTGCACGTGCCAAATGCACATCATGGAAAACGCTCCGGGAATTAGACTGCCACGACACTCTTTAGTGAACTATATACACGCGTAAAAAAATGTGTTTTGGCGCGGAGTGCTGACTATTTGAACGTAACCTGCCATAACTGCATACTTTATAAACACCCGCTGTAAATATTGATTTCATTAGTAGCTCATTAAGAGACTCGTGGGACAGCAAATCAGCTCATGTAGCCGCTAATGCTCGCAGCTTGGGACTAGCCACAGGAGGCATTCACCTCGCACATTCACTCGGGCCTGCAATGGTTCTAGCTCGCACTCGGGGGGGGGGGTCACAAAAACCCAACCGTTGGGGTCACCAAAACTCGAACTTGGAGTCACAAACACTCACACGTCAGGTCA